CTTTTGGTCTGTACTGTATATATATATATATACAGTACAGACCAAAAGTTTTGACACACCTTCTCATTCAAAGAGTTTTCTTTATTTTCATGACTATGAAAATTGTAGGTTCACACTGAAGGCATCAAAACTATGAATTAACACATGTGGAATTATAGACTTAACAAAAAAGTGTGAAACAACTGAAAATATGTCTTGTATTCTAGGTTTTAACCATGTATTTGGACATGCAAATTGTCTGGTGTCTATCTGGGTGTGTTGTAGCACCCTCTGCACCTGTACTTCCTAATGTCTTGAGTGGAACTCACTGTTGAAAACATTTGCTCCACTGTGGTATTCATTTAAACTAATCTTCTCAGGGTTTTTAAGTGAAAACCAAACATAATGTTTTTTTTAGATTACATAGGACACACAAAAAGTTCTTTTAGCACATATTCTTAAAGGGATAGTCAGGTCATTTTTAAAGTGATGGCCTCTCAAATAGGTATCAGTCACAGGGGAAGAAGTATGGTGAAAAACAGCAGAAGTCTCTAGGCTATGCTAATTAGCAAATTTAAGGCCTATTTTTAAAATTGTTTTTCAGGGAACAATAACTCTACAGAAAATGTCATATTGTTAAAAATAATTCTACCTTAGCTAAAATCAAACTTTATTATGTTATTAAACTTTTGTTTGTGTTGCTACACAAATGTGTGTTTGATGAGCATGGACAGACCCTGTAATTACTGGTGTCCTGATGCTGCTGAATGTATCAGTCTGCCTTGAGTTAAATAACTTCGGACAGACTAGACATACTGATCAGGTGGTCTGATTTATTCAGCAACCTCAGCAACATAAACACTGGCTTTACACTGAACGCAGACAGTTACATGAATGTTCGGTTAAGGAAACAACAATAAACAAATGGTGACATGTAAAAATGTAGGGTTTTGATATTTGCTAATGTTACATTCTTTAAATGGTACGTTGTTGTGGAGACAAAGTTTTTTCATAGGTCTGAAACTATAAATTTGACTTCATCATAATCCTCATCTAATTTTGTGTGGACAAGTGTATTCCAAAAACCTTTTTCTTCCACTTCATCCTGCTCAATGACTGATGTCACAGCTGCAAAGGTTTAGTTATGAACTATTTTAAAGAACCTCACTTCAAAAATGACTGACGATCCCATTAGGAATAATCACATATACATGTTTTTTTTTATTTTTATTTTGTGGCTTTTAAAAAATATTGTTTCATATTTCCTTAACAGTGGGTGAGAATATGTAAGTAATAAAACTGCTTCTTTTAAGATAAGGTGATGACTTTCTCACAGTTTTGGAGAATAAACTGGATAATTTTTAGTCTAAAATGAAAGTTTTAAGAATTTTGTATTTTCCATTGATATATTCTCTTATCATCACACACCAAACAATATATTTAACTTGACAGAATATGTGTGTGTCTGTGTGTGTGTGTGTGTGTGTGT